ACTTTCATTAATGTATTTTTTAATGCTCATGTGAAATAAATAACATTCTTTCATTAAAAAACGGTTACACAAAATATAATCACAATATATATATATATAAAACTATATATTATATATATGTACATATATAATATATAATATGTATTTATGCATGAATTTGTCAAATGTGATTTACACATTGTAATACATACACATTGTAAAAAATATAAAAGTGAAATTTTATGATGTCAAGCATTAATTCCTTTTCTCGATACTATAAGCTTTATTTTTTTATAATTACATATATAGGTTACTGGATCACATACGCGTGACGATTTAATTTATCGCGCATCAACGACTGGATTCCTAAGCGAGTCTGCCGGCACGGTACAAGAATATGGAGAGAAATGTTGCGAGAGCGTGACCAAATTACGCGTTCAATCAAATCGATTCGCAGTCTTGAGTAAGAATCCTATGATTTGATAAGAAAGATTTCATTTTTTTCTGTATACAGTATATATTATACGTGCGCGTGTATACACAACCAAATATCTCGTATTAATAAATACGATCTCGAGAACAGGTTTTTTTCTCCATATGTATTTGTTTTGTGTTTGTGTGTGCTTGCTCTATATATATATATAATTAAATTAAATTTATATTTAAACTTTAAACTCTGTGCAAGAATTTCTAACTTTTCTTTTTGATATTATTGCCACTATCAATACGTTTACTGCTTTCTCTTCTTTAAACATATATAGTATGTGTGTGTGTTTTATATTGCAAAGCTTTTTGATGATGTAGTTTAATATGCATATATATGTGTATGTGTGTGTGTGTGTGTGTGTGTGTGTGTGTTTTAATATGCTGAAGATACTAAAAGAAAATTAAGTTTTGGCGAGAGAAATGTTGTGTATTTAAATATTGTACACAAAATTGTATATATATTAATAGAATCGTTATCCATCAAATAAATAAACCTTGTTTTCTTTTTTTAAATCTTACCGGATATATCCTGAAGAAATTCCTGCGAATTGACGAGGTAAGAGGTATAAGTTTTAGTCTTGGATAATACGTTCGCCGGTTCGGAGTATAAATGAAGGACAATGACCTAATTGTGTGCAGAACGTGTTGTGTGCTTCTTTGATGGTCAATCCCCGTGCGTACAATTCATACTTGACTTGATTATTTATAAGTGTAGAACTAAATTAAATTGCTTTTCTTATCGAGATATACATAAAAGAAAAGTCGGACAATTTCTCACAACGAGAACGGTGTAGTTTTGTATGTCGCAGTCGACTAGATCGTAAATTATTATGAAGGTAAGATATACACACACATATTTTGTGAAAAAATTGGAGATTATTCATCGGAAATATTTGTGCTATTACATCATTTCTTTAGCGCGTTATAAAAAATATTTAATATATATATATGCTATTGAACAATAAATTAGTCTTAATTAAACAAAAGATCGAGCTTGATTTAAAATTCTTACGGCAATATTTGTATAAACTATATCGAGACAATGTGTAAAACGCAAACAAGCGAAGATAGCTGACATTCGGTCAAAGTAAATCTTTATTAGTGTTTAATAATATTAAGCAATTTAATACCGCCGAGAAATACTACCATGTCTCCATCAGATTTGTGACATTATATCTACTCCAGTTTCGATTTACCTACTGCGTTTCGAGCTCGACAAGTAATCGACGCGCAATTAGTTTGAATTAGAAATTGTAAAATTCACGCAAAAATATTATTAGGCCTCAAGTTCCACACTTTAATCGAATACAGCTTTATTTATTTATTCAATTAATCATTATAAATTTCTCGTAAAAAATTAACTGATCATTGATAAATATTACCATTTTCCCTTTATATCTTTCTACTTTTCACTAACAGATTTGTAACTTATCTGTATAACTTACGAATTTAAAAAATATAGATAATTTTTAATTATTGTTGTAAGAAGGCAAGGTCTTTATTTCGATCGATGTTTCAGCTACTATTATTTATAATTATTTTACACGTTGTCAATGGTATATGCCACACATTTGTCGCACATTTTTACATTTTTACGTTTATTTATTCTTACGTCTTAATTCACGAGAGATCCATAAGAATTTAAGCTTTTTCAGCGATGCAATAGATTAGGCGTGAAAAATACGATATTAAATCATTTACAATTAATTAGGCAGTATTTCAAAGACTCTGTAAATTTTCACATTTTCACGTACATCTTCTTCTCGCTTTTCTCGGCAACCTTAGTGTACCAATGTAGCACAATGTCCCACATTTGGTACACTATTTGCAGCAATTTTCTCTTTGGTTTTACGGACACGCGTACACGTGTATAGGTATATATATGATACATGTACGTAATGATACAGCCCAAAGAGTCATAGGTACTGTAGTGATGCTGCAGTAAAGTAAAAATTGTTTCACTTCCGCTTACGCTTTGAAAATAATAGGAGCTGCAATCTTAGTTTGTTGAAATTTTTCGGAGAAAGCGAGATAGAGAATCGCAATTCGATACGCTGTATAAACCAAATTGTAGACAACTAATTGGATTTGCTGGCTCATCGCCATGTGTATCTGCCTCTCCGAAGCAAAGAATAAGATTAGAAGACCTTCATCTCCATCGTATGCTTCTACATTGGTATTAAAAAAACCCCGACCTATTAATCAAAGAATATCTATGGGAAACACCATTCATATCGGTGGTAGTCTGTCTCATCAGAGAGTACCTTATAAGCACGCCAATTATAGGTAAAAGGTTTTGAATATGCATTTTCTTTTCCATTACATCACGATAATTTCATTTTCAATTTTAGAATTCGTCGACCAATATACAATGTTTTGTCGACTAACTGGAAAAATCAAGTTCCAATGCGAGCAATATCCCTGAATAACCGGCCAATTTTGCCACAACGTGCTTCTATCACTAAAGAATTATATTCTATAAACAAAGTACCGGAATACAGTCCGGAATACAGACCAGAGTTAGTAGTATTGCCACCTACTCATCGAGAGAGTAGTGTCGATGACGATAAAGGACCTATTCACACGATTCCGGCACCAAATTTAAGCCCAGCAGATAAGCCATACAATACTGCTACCAATTTGGAAGATATCGCGGATCATCGACCATATCAACCAACGAATGATCTCAATTATCACGTTCCGATACAAAGTAAGTATACTATTAATTTTCATTACATTACACAGCCATACTTTGAGCTGAG